ACACGAGATTTTCTAATTTCTCAAGCTAGAAACCCATAATCAATACACTGACAAAAAACCAAAATCTAAGAAAAAAAGAAGAAGAAAACAACTAATATATTATTCAGATTTTCCTAGAAATGGAAACAAGATCATGAACAGATTTATGTAAGTTGTTCCGCTTCAAGCTCGAGCAGACCAAAATCGGTCGAATCCGAGCGAAACCTTCACCCTGTGAAATCCCATAAAACCCCTAAACCACTGACACCCTAACTCTTCGAAACCCTAACCTGAGAAATCGAACCTAACCCACCGACAAAGGTCTGACAGGATTGCGATAAAAACCGAAATTGAACCCTAGAAACTGAACTCCCAGCGCAAAGAAACCTGAGAGCGAGAGAGACTAACCTGAGGAGATGCGATGGACGGAAAGAGAGAAGCTTCGAGCAAGCGCAAATAGACGGCAGGATGAGATCTGCCCCTCGCGTATTCGACGATAGTCTCAAAAAATGAACTCTAGGGTTTCTGATGAAAGAACGTAAGTCTCGACTTAAATTTATAACGGAAATGTCAAAGACGACAAACCAGGCCATTATACTTAAGCCCTTTGACCCATGACTTAATGGGCTTAACCCATTACAATTAAATATCTAAGGCCCATCCCCTAAATTTATACTTTATAATATAACAATATATAATCATCGCTTTCGACCTATTCCACGTTTATACTTTATATTTCGACCTATACAAGTCAAAATACTAAACCAACCGTTAATAATTCTTTTGTAATACCAAATTCTAAGGCCCAAACGGTTCGTTAATTCTCGCAGACAAAATAAATTACACTTAAGGAAAAAATACCCTCTTTTTAAGAATTATGCTAAAATTTAACCGAATAATAACTCCAAATATTATTGTTAGTATTTCTTTTCAGATAAAACTCGATAAAGAACAATAAAAATATATTATATAGTTTGTAAGAATTAATGTACATTATATCAAAATACCCTCTTTTTATTAATTTGAATTCTAACACGTATTTTTCTCCACTTTTGACTCTGTGATGCATGTAACCAAAAATATAATCTAAACATATATTGATTTTATTAATCATAATATTAATTTATGATGATAACACTAATTCATTATATTCATCATTTATATTTTCACTAATAATTTGATAAAAAATATTATAAATTATACGTTATGATTAATGAGTTCAATATGTGAACAAACTATATTTCTATTCACATTGATAGGTGGCAATTAGGGGTGGGCAAAAATACCCGAAATTCGGATATCCGACCCGACCCGTGAGTCGGATACTCGAATTTCGGATAACCGGTTACTGTATGAGATAAAAACGGGTTGGTGTATGAGGAGAATCCGAAATTTGGGTTCGAGTTCGAGTATTAAAATTCAGGTTTGGATATTATCCCGGGTATCCGAAAATACTAAATTTACTATTTTACCCTTAATTTGAAAATCAAATTAGGTCAACTATTTTCATCTTTCATACTCTTCTTCTTCACACGCGGCACCTCTTTCTCTTTCTCCACTTTTCACTCTCCACCTCACCTCTCTCTACACTTCTCCTCTCTCCCATGTGTGTTATGTTATGCCTTCGTCTACCTCTCCATTCTCTTTTCCATATGTGTCTGTTACATTCATTCCTAGTTCATGATTATGAAATTTTACAAGCTGTTGAAATCTCCCCATGATGTTTTTATATGCCATTGAAATGTGATGTTTTGTATTTTTTTTTATGAATAGAAGATTATCTTTATATAAAGTGATTCTGTACGATGAATATATGATATTTTTATGATTATAATGGATAAATATGGTTTTTCATGAATTTTTTGTATGTAAAATTCGGGTCCGGATATTCGCGGGTACTCGATAATTATCTCGAATATCCGATTTTCGGTTATCCGATTAAAATGGGTATGAGTTCGGGTATTATTTTATGGAATTTTTGGACTTAGATTCGGGTTATCCAAAAAATCTGGGTACTCGATCCGTGATCACCTAGTGACAGTCTTATATGTTAAAGCTAAAATAGTAAAAAGTTAGTATTTTTGATAATAATGTCCGAAATCACAAGAAAACATGCATAAAAAACATTGAACACAATTTATAGTATTGTTATGATATTTATATGATATATAGAAATCGATATTCATTAATATTGTGTTGTGTGCGCATATATATATATATATACACATATCTGTGTGTGTGTTCTTTTTTACGTTTTTTTCCAATAATTTTCCAATCGAATATCGAATACCTAAAAGTTATGTAAAACCCATTCTAAACCCTCGCAAAAGATTTCGCAAAGATGGCTACTTTCGCTTCTAAACTCCGTCGCGCCGCCGTCTGTCTCGCCGGAGCTCGGCGAAATTACCATTCGACCCTCTTATCCGCCGTGGACCACTCGCCAGCCTTCGTCGGCCGCCAGAGATCTCCGGCACCGTCGTCTTCTCCTATCTTTCGATTTACCACAGCTTTGAAGGGAGCTTCCTCAGACGATCTGCTTCTCCGAGTGCTCGAATCGGAGATCGAATGTACCGAACAGACCGATGATTACGATCGGGTAATACCCACTTCGTTTTTTTTTTGTCTTGATATGTTTTTTTTCTCCTTCGGGGTGGAGACATTTAGGAGTTATTTGCTGTTCGTGGGATGGATATGAAGAGCTGTTGGTGACAGGAAACACAAAAACTATCAGGATCGCTTTGCTTTTGTGTTGCTTGAATTGTGGAATAGATATGGATTGCTTGTTTTGTTGAGGGTTCTGAATGTTCATGTTCTTGTGATTGGGGGATTTGAGCAAAGTAAGAAAGGGTCAATCTTTTTCGTGCTTGGATGTTGCTTTTTAGAAGTTCTGAGATCGAAATTAGGATCTGTGGAAAACAGATTTTCGATTTCGATTGAGCTTGAGAAGAAGATTAACAGTGACTCAAAATCGATGTCTTTTCTGTTTCTGCTTTTCTTCTTCACATGTCAAGTTTTGAGTTACAAGGCAAAATTTGTACAATGGCACTTGGTGAGATATTTGATTGATGAGGTGTAGCTCCTGGATCTGTTTCCAGTAAATGGAACCGAAGGCATAAACCGTCACACTCTTTAT